TACTTCTAGAAGAGGAGGGAAGGAGATGTGATTGGAAAAGACAGAGGGAGCTCCTGGGTGGCCCACCATCACTTGACTCAGGTGTCACTTTATATTTATATATTATTTAGTACCTCTGTGTCGTATGCACCTTCTGTATACAGGCTACATTTCACAATTCAAAAGGTAAAAATCTGAAGCAAAAATGAAAACTTGAGCCCGTGGGTGTTTCTCTGTATTTTTATACTTTCCAAAAATATATATTTTAAAAATGATTCTGATCATCAGCCAGGTTTGAGAACAGCTCTGAGGAAATTTTTTCTGGTCTGCCTTTGCAAATAACAGACCTCCTCTAAATCTCTCAGCTAGATGTCTGAGTAGCAAATGAGAAATTCCTCCCAGCTTCTCCAGCTCCTTCCTACCAGCTGCCCCCAGCTGGGGGACAGGGCTGCACACCCCCATGCACACACAGAGCATAGCAGTGGTCAAAGAGGCTACGTGCTGGTTCTCAGGGACCCATTTCCCCTGCCAGCCACAGGTCTCTCTGCTTTCTTGCCCCATTTACCAAACCAACCAGGTCTGGCCAAAGGTAGGCCATGGCCTGGATAAGTATGTTTGTCTGGTCAGCTTGGAATGCCTGCGAGGAGACATTTCAAACTATCCTGGGGTAAGATGCTGAGTGCCTGAAGAAGCCCAAGTCCAGAGAGTTGAAAGATACACGAGAGACAGACCTGAGTTCTATATAAACCTACAAATTGGCCCAACCTGAGATATTCCTCACTTCCAAAGGCTCAGCAGTCTAGGCTGAGGGAGCTCACAGTGGCTACCAATTCCTATTCTAGGTTTGGCTGAGCACCAAAGAATTGATGCTTTTGAACTGTGCTGTTGGAGAAGACTCTTGAGAGTCCCTTGGACTGCAAGGAGATCAAACCAGTCAATTCTAAAGGAGATCAGTCTTGAATATTCATTGGAAGGACTGATGCTGAAGCTGAAGCTCCAATACTTTGGCTACCTGATGTGAAGAGTCGACTCATTAGAAAAGATCCTGATGCTGGGAAAGATTGAGGGCAGGAGGGGAAGGGGGTGACAGAGGATGAGATGATTGGATAGCACCACCAACTCAATGGACATGATTCTGAACAAACTCCGGGAGATGGTGAAGGACAGGGAAGCCTGGCAGGCTGCAGTTCATGGGGTTGCAAAGAGTCAGTCACAAATGAGCGACAACAACAATTCTAGGTTTGCTGGGACTCTCCACAAAGATGGCTTCCCTGGTGACTCAACTGGTAAAGAATCCATCTGCAATGCGGGGGACCTGGGTTCGAACCCTGGGTTTGGAAGATCCCTTGAAGAAGAGAACAGCTACCCACTCCAGTATTCTGGCCTGGAGAATTCCATGGACTGTATAGTCCATGGGGTCGCAAAGAGTCAGACACGACTGAGTGACTTTCACTTTCTGCACAGAAGTCCAATGAGCCCCTCTAATTCACATGACCAAAACTCTCCACAAAGATGGCTTCCCTGGTGACTCAACTGGTAAAGAATCCATCTGCAATGCGGGGGACCTGGGTTCGAACCCTGGGTTTGGAAGATCTAAGAGAACAGCTACCCACTCCAGTATTCTGGCCTGGAGAATTCCATGGACTGTATAGTCCATGGGGTCGCAAAGAGTCAGACACGACTGAGTGACTTTCACTTTCTGCACAGAAGTCCAATGAGCCCCTCTAATTCACATGACCAAAACAAACTCATACTTTCTTCCAAACCTCCTCCTCCTCTAGCAGTCTCCAGCTTAGTGAGAGGGAATGATACCACCTTCCATCCAAGCCTGAAACTTGGGTCCTCCTGCTCACTCATCAGCAAGTCTCATTGGTTCTACTTCTGAAATCCAAGGATCTGTCCACTTCTTCGAGGCTGTCAACCCAGTACTGACCACCATCATCTCTATTTCAACCATCCCTTCAACAAGCAAATCAGCTTCAGGCTTCCCTTCTTCCCATGGCTCCTTCACACAGTACTCAAGAAGATTGGTCTGAAATGCAAATATGATTCCATCTCTCTTCATTAAAAGTCTTTAGTGCCCCCCCTTCTTATTTTCCGGCAAACGTCCAAACTTTCCAATATGGGATATGAATCCGTTTATTTTCTAATTCACTAGGTCTTATTTCTTAGAATCCTATCCCTCACATGTTTTGATTCAATTCGACTGAAATTCTTATACTTCCTTAAAAGTATCAAGCCCTCTCACCTCTATACCTTTGCGCATCTATATCCTCTTCCTATCCCTTCCCATCCAAATCCTCCTTGGCCCCAGAAACTCCTACTTATTTCTCAGATTGTGGGTTAAATGTCAGTTCCTCTGGGGGTCTTTCCTTATTTCCCGAAGTCCTCTGTGTTCCTTCAGCATCCTACCAGGTCACAATACCTCGTAGAGGTGTTGCTAAAGTCTGATTTAATTGTCTGTCTTCCCTTGATGGCAGGGATCCTGTCTGTATTCTCCATCTTTATCTGCCCCAGAAACTGATCCAGGATGACTTGTAGCCAGCACCCAAACACCTAACCAAATGAATGAGCGCCCAGCTAAGTACTCAGAACTCAGATTAAAAAAAAAAAGGAAAGAACAAGTCTCTACTTTCAAATTTACAGACACTCTAAATCATTTCCACCTACAAAAACACCTCCAGGAGCCAGATGACTTAAGCCAAATCAATCTACTAGCTCAGGACAGGACAATTCACTAGCCAGAACTCTTAGCTGAAGGCTTGTCTGTGATTCTCACTTTTGGCTCTGGTTCACTCTACCCACTTACTGACCCAGCTCACACCTATACCTACTTCTGGCTCTACTTCACATAAAACATCTAGCAGAAAGACTAGACATAGAAAAGGAACATCCAGAAAGCATATGGGAATGGGACTGAGCTGAGGGATGAAGGGTGATGGCAGAGAAGAGCTCAGAGTAAACTACGGACCAGGGCTCAGTGCTGGAACCCCTGCAGGACTGTGCCCCACCAGAGCCACAGCTAGTGAGGTTCAAACCTGTGCAGCCAGCAGATGGTTCTAACTCCTAAACTTTTCTGCCAAAACCACTTCTGCCTAGCAACTGCTTTCAGAAGCTTGGGCTGGAGAGAGATTTATACCCTTCCTCCTTGATTTGATGACAACTACAGAAGGGCAGCATCACACATGCATTTAAGTTAGGGGAATTCAACCATGAGTCCCTGTAAAATAAATAAGAAGAGAGAGAGATGGAGGAAGATATCCTTTCATAGTGCGAACAGTTCAGAACTGCGTGAGATTCTAGTTCGGAGACATTTAGAATTTCCATACAACTGGCTCCTAAACTCAAAGATAGAGAAGGAAATGGCAACCCACTCCAGTACTCTTGCCTGGAGATTCCCATGGACAGAGGAGACTGGCAGGCTATAGTCCATGGGGTTGCAAATAGTCGGACACGACTGAAGCGACTTAGTAAACTCAAGGAAACCTTGTTGATACCTTTCCTTTGTGTGTTTTTTTAAATTTTATCACTTCTGTATTTATGTAATTTTAAAAACTAAAATTATATTTTCTACGTATGCCCCTTCTTATATACTGTGCATTACTATATGTTGCGCTTGCATACAAACATATTACCATAAAAGAGGATATGAACACAAAGTCCCAGAGACCTTACGTTGTGGCTGTTTGTGAATTTTTCAAAGCTACTGTTGATTACACATGGTTTCTGCCTACATGTTGACTTTAGAACCCAATAACCACAGAGGATGTGGGTTCACCATGGGTACCATCCTCCAAGTTCTTCCTTTGACATCTGTACCAAGCCAGGAGTGACAAGGCTTTGTTCAACATCCGGCCAAGACTCAGAACTCCAGCGGTCAATGTGACAATGACAGGCAGCCTACAAACACTTCTCTATCAAGATGCTGGGGCAGAACGGACATGTGGGACATCCAAGACCTATCAAAAGGAGGTTCCCATGTCTGCTCCTGGCTTTCGATTTTAGTTTCTGTTTCTTCAAGGATAATTTTGGAACCCCACTAGCTACAAGCAAGAGGTGGCAAGGCAAGTTCCCTTCCCTCATCTTTAGGTCCCCTGCCCAAAAGAGTGACAAGCGGAGAGCTAATCCACTCCACGCTGCTAAAGAGGGACCTGCTTGGGTTTAGTCTGCAGTTTTTCAGATCAGGTCATAATCCCAGCGTGAGGTGAGGGTTTTGGGACTTCAGGCCACCGTGTAAGTATCCAAGGGCTCAGACACCCCAGACTTAAGTGTCCTTCCTCAACACAGACCAGTCTGAGAACCCAAACTTCCCAAGAACACACAAATGATGGTTATAAGAGTCTCATTCCTTCACAACTTCGGACAGGGAACAGAGTCCCCATTTTTCAGATGAGGAAACTGAAATCTCCTGTCAAAAGCAGGACAAGATCACAATCCTCTGGACTTCTGGCTCCCAAAACAAGATTTCTGGAACTTTCTGATTACCATTTAATTACTCATTACCAGGGGTTTCTTACCTTTCACAAATTTCACTCAATTCTTTCTCCCCATCTTCCCTCAATGCCTAAATCTTCTAACCGCATCTTTCCCTTTTCCCTCTCCAGTTTGATTTCCTGGTCTCTGTTCCAAAGTCTAAACACCTTGCATTCCCGAGAACCCCGCTTCCAGAGTGGTACCTACGTGGAGCATCTCCTCTTAAAAAAAAAAAAAAAACAGAAGTCCTGTCCTGTGGCTCAGAGCCCACACCCCCTCACGCCCGGGGGCCCTCATTCCCCCTCATCCTTTGCTTCCTCCTACCCTGCTCAGGCCCTTTGTGACCCACTCCCTCAACTTCCTCGTTCTCCCTCTTCATCACCCGAGGGTCTCAAGCCTGCCTCCCAAGTTTTAGACTCTGTTCCTCCAACTCTCCCGGGTGCTGCTCCCACCCTCTCAGAAGCTCAGGCCCGAGCCTATTCTTTCGGAGAGTCCCCGCAACCCATCGCCACGGCCCCCGACCCGGGCTCCGGCTCCCGCGCGCTTACCCGACCAGAGCACGAGCTTGCCGTGCGCCTCCTCCTGGGAGTCGGAGTCCCCGGCCAGCAGCGTGGAGGTGGCCCCGTAGGGCAGCGCCGAGCCCAGGCACACGTTGTAGCGCAGCGGCTCGCAGGGGGCGGCCCGGCCGCAGTGGCTCAGCAGCGGCGGAGGGCCAGTCACGGCCGCGCTCCTCCTCGCGCTCCCGCCCGCGCTCCAGGGCCCCGGCCGGGTCGCGTTCCCGCTCAAGGCCGCCCCCCGGCCCGGGCCCCCTAGCAGCAGCAGCAGCCCCAGAAGCAGGAGCTCCGGCCCCCGTGCGAGGCGGGCAGCGGCCATGGCCAAACCCGCCAACTCAGCAGAAGCTCCGGCGCCCCCGCCCGCTCTCCGGAGCCCACCCCCCCGGCCACACGCGCCACCCTGGGGACCACAGACGCGGCTCAGGCGACCTGTGCGCCCCAAGAGTCCGGTGCCGGGTCCCCCCGGACGCCCCGCGCGCCTCGGGCCCTCGGCACCCAACTTCGCAAACTTTGGAACCCGGGGCCCATGTTGGGCGGCGGAGGCCCGGGCCGGGATGCACAACTCTCTACCCCTTCCTGGCAATCCAAGTTATCTTCACCCCCGGGAGCCCCCTGGGCCCCCAATCTCCAGCCCCATTCCTTCTCCCACCATTAAAACCACCTCCTGGCCCCACGATGGAGGCCAGGCGCGGGCCGGGGGTGCGGGACTGGGTCCCCGGCTCCGCCCCCGCGCCAGCCCGCCTCCCAGACGCCCCCTTCGCGTTACCGCGCCTCAGCCCCCCGACTTCTCCCCGCCAACTACCCGGCTCCTTTGTTGCTCTAGCTCGCTTGGCTCTCTGGAATGCACGGGCCTCGCCGAGCCAAGCCCGCCCGTCCCCCCCACCCCCCGGTTGGGGGAGGGACTGGCCTAGGGAGGGAAGAGGAGGGGAGGGATGCGAGAAAGGAGGAGCTGGAGCTTCAATGTCCCGGGCGCCTGAAGAGGCCCAGGCCAGGGGGCTCCGGTGACCTCGCCGCTGCCTCGGGGCACAAGATGGGTGGAAATCGGAAATCGTGGCCAGTAGTTGCCACAAGACTCAGCGGGCATCTTGACTGGCCTGATGATCGTTCAACTTGGCTGTCTGCAGAGAGTGGACTCTTCTGGATTATATGGGAGAGACAAGGGATGCCTGAAGTCAGCTGAAGCTTCTACTGCATCTAGAAGATCCTGCCCTGCTCCCCAGTCTGCCAGTCTTTTCTGCTTTTGGTTAGATCTTTCAGCTTGTTCCAGAGCTCCATGGAGAAGACCACCATTTGGAGTCTCTGCTGTCCAAGTCCTTCCAGCTAGGGACCTGTGTGAGAGATGACCTCAAAGTCACTCCAGGCAGCCGCCCCTGCTCTCAGAGAGCATTCAGAGAGCATGTGTCTGGAAACCAGAAGTGTAGGCATCAAGCCTTTATTGCTACTTTATTGCTAATGTGTGAAACTCTAGACTGTGGTTGCCAATGGCTGGCCCTGGCGTGTCTTTGGTTATGGCGGAAGGAGGCCAGTCCCTCTCTGATGGCCCTTTGCTGCTCATAGGCTACTCGTAGGCTGGCCCGGGGGGTTTAAGCTGCTCTCCTTCCCTACTCTGCCATTCTTTGCATTTTCTCACTCTTTAGCTTGTCAGTCACAGAATTTGATTTCACCCTACAGTGGCTTCCACCTCTAAATAACCAATAGTCCAGCCAGGAGAGTGGACTTGCGGTGAGCAATTCTTCCTGCTGCTCATGGGGTTGCACACTAGGGTGGCTTTTCCCTTCTCACCACAACCCCAACCCCTTCAGCCTAGCCCAGGTGGACTAGTCCTGTCAGGCTTGGCCATTTTAGAGCAGATTAGCTATTGCACTTCAGCTATCATCCTCAAGTAGAGCATAAGCCCGAGAGGATTTAATTCAATTTAACAAGTCTTTTTCTGAAATCCTAGGATGTATGTGGCACCATGATAGGGATGACATACTTGAAGAACTTGAGGTCTTGGATTTTTACCATGGAGACAAGGCTTGCCCTCAAGAAACAGTAATACATTATGACAAAGCAGCAAAGTCTCCTCCTTAAGCCAAGGACCTTATTATATTCTCTCTACCCACAGGGTATCCAGTGCAGTTAGATATGCATACTAATCACTGGATAAATAAGGTGCCAAAATGAGGGATATGGTGAGTGGTCCCTAAGAATTTATAGCAGGGGAAGGTCAGCGTGGATAGAAGTGGAGAAGTAGGGATTTGAATCTAGCCCTGAAATGTAAGTAGTAAGAGTTAGAAAAGTAGAGAGGAGCCCAGCTGGCATTACAAGGGGAGGAAACTATGACGAGAGCTCAGAGCATGACTGGCCTGGCCATCAGGACGTAGTAGTGGGTAAGCAGGGAAGCTGACTGGTAAGAAACTACAAACGGCATACAGAGGAATTCAGGTTTCATTCTGTTGGTGATAGGAAGCAGTGAAAAATTTTGATCAGAGGAGTGATACATGTAAGAACATTAATCTGTCAATGTGAGGATGGTATGAAGGGTGAGAGTCTGGAGACAACGGACCATTTTGAGGGAAGTGCTGCTGATTTACGGAAGAAGTGGAAATAGTCTATGTCATCAGGGCGTAATATTCCTACTGGAAAAATAATTTAAAACTTTATGACCTACCGCAGTTATTTTTTTCTGTGATATAAATGAAATGGCTGTTATTCTGAAGTTTGAGCCATGGAGCAGGTTGCGTAACACCATACCGTTGCTTTGCTTTGGGAACTTTCTCCCCTTATTTTCTATCCTGTTGTTACTGTGACAGCGTTGAAGCCCTGTGGGATTTTCTCAGTATTCCACGCATTAGAGAGAAACCTATGCAAGTGCTCATGCAGCCCCTGACCTCTCTGCCTAAAAATGTTAGCAATTCTTCAAGAATGAAAGCTATATGGTCCCTTGTCTGGAATTTCTGGGAAGGTAGAAGAATCCCATCATCTTCTGGGGAAGAATCAAGTCAATGTAAGATAAGTCCTTTATGAAAGAGATTGAAGAGGATGAATTGAGACGATCCTACAGTGTTGTCTTCCATTCAGAATGTTCTTCCCTTTAGGAGGAGGGAGAAGATGTGCTCATTTCTCAACTCCTTGAGACTCGCACTCCAGGAGGTCAAAATTCTAGGTCCTGTCAGACAGCAGTTTCAGGACAGGATGGAAAATGTTCAATGAGGACTGGGGAAGAGAAGGTTTCCTGGTGGTTCGTTTTTGAAAAAAAAAAAATTTATTTATTTGGCTACAGGTCTCAGTTGCATCATGTTGGGGCTCCAGAGCAGGCTCCAGAGCACATGGGCTCAGTAATTATGGCCCGCGGGCTTAACTGCACGGTGGGATGTGGGATGTTAGTTCCTCAGTCCCTGCACTGCAAGGATTTTTAACCACTGGACCCACAGAAAAGTCCTGTTCTTGGTGGTTCTTGAATGGTATTCAAGGCCCTGGAGAAAGCTCATCCATCCCCTCCTTCAGGCAGGGAAAGATCAACAGTGTCTTCTAGAGACTTCTGAGTGATTTGACACACTCCTGGTCTCCAACCTCATGGTGGTGGAGTGCGAACTGCTCCTCCTTTCCTGAACCTGAGCCACCCCCCACCCAGTTCCTCCAGAGTCTTAACCCTGTCTACATGTCATAACACAGTCCTTCTATCTGGTCCAAGAGAAGCTCTCCTGTGTGACAATGTATTACAGTACTCGATTTGCTACAAGTAGCTTCTTGATTTCTGAGTCATTCTCACCAAATATTTTGGCATTTTGAGGTCATGCATTCAACGTTGACTCTTTATTTGCCTCTGGGCCCTCGACTTGAAAAGAATGAACATGAAAGTATGTTTGGGCTATCCATGGGTTTCCTTGAGGCTTTGGTTGCTTCCTCACAGTTCAGTTGTCACGCTGGCTCGAATCTGGAGGATAATTCTTGCAGGGTTCCACGTCTTTCTTTATTCTGTGAAAGTGTTAATCACTCAGTTGTGTCCAGCTCTTTGTGACCCCATGTGTTGTAGCCCACCAGACTCCTCTGTCCATGGATTATCCAGGCGAGAATATTGGAGTGGGTTGCCATTCCCTTCTCCAGGGGATCTTCCTGACCCAGGAATTGAACCCAGATCTCCTGCATTACAGGCAGACTCTACCAACTGAGCCACCAGGGAAGCCCTTTCTTTATTGTGTTTCTTTCCTACCGCAGTTATTTTTTTCTGTGATATAAATGAAATGGCTGTTATTCTGAAGTTTGAGCCATGGAGCAGGTTGCGTAACACCATACCGTTGCTTTGCTTTGGGAACTTTCTCCCCTTATTTTCTATCCTGTTGTTACTGTGACAGCGTTGAAGCCCTGTGGGATTTTCTCAGTATTCCACGCATTAGAGAGAAACCTATGCAAGTGCTCATGCAGCCCCTGACCTCTCTGCCTAAAAATGTTAGCAATTCTTCAAGAATGAAAGCTATATGGTCCCTTGTCTGGAATTTCTGGGAAGGTAGAAGAATCCCATCATCTTCTGGGGAAGAATCAAGTCAATGTAAGATAAGTCCTTTATGAAAGAGATTGAAGAGGATGAATTGAGACGATCCTACAGTGTTGTCTTCCATTCAGAATGTTCTTCCCTTTAGGAGGAGGGAGAAGATGTGCTCATTTCTCAACTCCTTGAGACTCGCACTCCAGGAGGTCAAAATTCTAGGTCCTGTCAGACAGCAGTTTCAGGACAGGATGGAAAATGTTCAATGAGGACTGGGGAAGAGAAGGTTTCCTGGTGGTTCGTTTTTGAAAAAAAAAAAATTTATTTATTTGGCTACAGGTCTCAGTTGCATCATGTTGGGGCTCCAGAGCAGGCTCCAGAGCACATGGGCTCAGTAATTATGGCCCGCGGGCTTAACTGCACGGTGGGATGTGGGATGTTAGTTCCTCAGTCCCTGCACTGCAAGGATTTTTAACCACTGGACCCACAGAAAAGTCCTGTTCTTGGTGGTTCTTGAATGGTATTCAAGGCCCTGGAGAAAGCTCATCCATCCCCTCCTTCAGGCAGGGAAAGATCAACAGTGTCTTCTAGAGACTTCTGAGTGATTTGACACACTCCTGGTCTCCAACCTCATGGTGGTGGAGTGCGAACTGCTCCTCCTTTCCTGAACCTGAGCCACCCCCCACCCAGTTCCTCCAGAGTCTTAACCCTGTCTACATGTCATAACACAGTCCTTCTATCTGGTCCAAGAGAAGCTCTCCTGTGTGACAATGTATTACAGTACTCGATTTGCTACAAGTAGCTTCTTGATTTCTGAGTCATTCTCACCAAATATTTTGGCATTTTGAGGTCATGCATTCAACGTTGACTCTTTATTTGCCTCTGGGCCCTCGACTTGAAAAGAATGAACATGAAAGTATGTTTGGGCTATCCATGGGTTTCCTTGAGGCTTTGGTTGCTTCCTTACAGTTCAGTTGTCACGCTGGCTCGAATCTGGAGGATAATTCTTGCAGGGTTCCACGTCTTTCTTTATTCTGTGAAAGTGTTAATCACTCAGTTGTGTCCAGCTCTTTGTGACCCCATGTGTTGTAGCCCACCAGACTCCTCTGTCCATGGATTATCCAGGCGAGAATATTGGAGTGGGTTGCCATTCCCTTCTCCAGGGGATCTTCCTGACCCAGGAATTGAACCCAGATCTCCTGCATTACAGGCAGACTCTACCAACTGAGCCACCAGGGAAGC